TTTTTCTCAGAATTCTGATTTTTTTTCTCAAAATTCTGACTTTAATCTCAGAATTCTGACTTTTTTCTCAGAATTCTGACTTTTTTTCTCAAAATTCTGACTTTAATCTCAGAATTCTGACAGATAACAAACATGTTAGCATCAAGTCATAGCCATGTCTGTTTTAGAGACTAGCTCTCTTGTTTTCTGCTCCTCTATTAATGAGGGGACCCCTCGGGCACGTAAAAGGTTGCCTAATTCCATCATTTTCCACCAATGTGTCACTGGCCCTCTCAAAAAACTCACATCTTTGTCAGTGAAGCTGAGGGCTCCACATCTTCCTTCATGGTGCCCATCTACATTAAGATCCAAAATTCTGAGATTAAAGTTAGAATTCTGAGAAAAAAGTCAGAATTCTGACTTTTTTCCGTCAGAATTCTGACTTTTTTCCCATATTAAACTGAAATAAAATTTAAAATCAGTTAACTTTTTTTTTTCCAGTGGTCCTAATCCTCTTCCGTACCATAGGGAGTGAGAAAAACTGTAATAACAAAAGCACAAAGACTTCTGAAGAGGTGCTGCTATTACCTGATATGAGCTGCTGACACAGAAAGATGACCTATTACAAGAAAATTAGATCTAAAAAAAAATAAAAATAAAGGTATATCACTGGTTTCAGTATACTATGGTAATAAATTCCATATTTTCCATAAAGATAAAATATAAACAAATATGAATAAACAAACACAAAACAAAAATTACGATTTTGTTAAATTAAATTACTGTGAGTGGCAAATTTACACTGAAAAGTAGAGCAGGACTGGCTAATCACCTTCTCAGTGTTTAAGACACTTTGACGTTTGTCTCAATTAATATAGTTTAATTTTGTAGTTGTTTCTTTTACTTTATTCAATAAACTATTAAATTCCGTACCATCCTACTAAGATGAGCAACCCTACTTAATGTCGATGGGTAATGTAGTTTTTATAAAACAGCTTCCTTGTAGCTGAAGCTGAACGCTAAACTACAATACCCACAATCCTATGCGCTGAACGTTTACTTCTGACACAAGCCGGTGTTAGACAACCTGCAGCCTGGCTGTGTCTGCCAGTAGTTTGGAAGCTCTTCGGAAGGTAAGAAAACAGAAATATGTCAGGAAACAGACAGTGACCCGGGTTAGAAATCCTTCGTAGCCTGCTGTGGATGTAGGGCTAAAGCTAACGCGGCTAAAGGAAGCGCGAGCGCAGTGCTGGCAGGCTTAGCTTAAGCTAGCAGCTCACTGCCTGATGTTTACACAAACTTTTAAAGGTTTGTGACTTTTATAAAGCTGTTCACAGAAAGAGGAGGTTTAATCCTGTCTGTGTCAAACATTGAACTTTAGAAGAAGTTTTTATCACTGATATGATGGTGTGGAAAAGTTTGGATCCAGGTGGTCAGATGGTTCCTCTGCCAGGTGTTTCATCAGAAGCTGAACCAGCTGGTTTATAGAAATGGACCTGCCTCCATTAGCCAGATGAATGAAGGTGCTTAAGCTTTTTATTAACATGCTGTTATTGGTCTGTGTGTTTTCATGTCAGAGTGACAGGAAGGAGCTGAAGAGCTGAGAGGAGGAAGGACAGAGGAACCAATGTCTCCTCCACGTCTGACAGGAGCTCTCCGCTCCTTCTCTAATGTCAGTAAGAAGGAGGATCCTGTTGAACAGCTTTATGACCTGAAGGTGAGAAAAAATAATCCAGTTTTCCCTTCATAGACATATGGAGGATTTATTGTCCTACCTTTGAGCTGAGGAGAAAAGAAGCTACACGGAGCTTTAACTTGGATTCAAGACATTTTTATCACATCCAGGGAAGTCACAACAACATCTACTTTCATTGATGTGTCTGTTTCAACAAACATAAATAAATTAATCACTTTTTGGAAATGATATTAACCCTGAGATAAACAAAGGTTTAGATTAAAACATATTGATGGGAATTATTGCTGACAGTGATGTTGGTATGTGATCAGCAGATGCTCATGTTTTTTTAATAGTTTTTGCTCTGGTTGCCATCTTCTCCTTTTGGGGTAGAATAGAATCCAACTTTATTGTCATTACACTGCCACACAAACAGAGCAATGAACTGCAATCTCTGCATTTAACCCATCCCCCTGGGGAGCAGTGTGGGGTTAAGGGGCTTTGCTCAGGGACCCAGAGTGCAGGCGGTGGGAGTAGGGCTCAAACTCTGAAACTCTGGGACCCAAGTTCAACGCCTTAACCACTAGGCCACCACTCCCCATTAGAATAACTCTTGTTGTTCCCCTGCACGGAAATCGTTCGTAAAAGGTGAAAGAATTTTACGATCTGAATAAGGGTGTGCAAAATAATCTTCATGACGATGCATCGCGATTCTAATTTTTGTGATCTACTGCATCGATTCTTGAAGGCAAGAATCGAATATAAAAAATAAAAAAAAGAACAAATAAAATACATTAATGGTTGGTGCACATCAGCCAAATCAAGTGGAATACAACTTTCAGTCCAGCAGATGTTGCTGCGGATGTGTTGACGCCAGCTGCCATGTGTCACAAGCATTTCCATCACATTTCAGGTGAGATACTTGGATGCATTCTGGCTTTAAAACCAAAGAAGGTAAAAATGAAATTGATATGACGCACGTCATTTGCAAAAGGACCACTGAGGCCATGTAAACGGCACTGATTATCCTTATTTTGTTATTTAAATTTTTATGTTTCCTAAGATCGTTTTTTCAGTGTGTCCACACCAGTGATAGTAATATTTGTGTCCAGTATTTGTTTTCATGGCAATACCTCCAAAAGTCGTTTCAATAAATACAGCTATGTAAGAATTCAGTTACACACTATCTAGATCACACCCAGCCAGTCAGCCACTGGTAAGGGCTGGATCTTTTTCTTACAGTGTTCAGTGAAAATATCGCAATGCATCGCGATGCATCCCAATATTTCAAGTATTGTGATACATCGTGATCGAATCACATCGTGGCATGTGAATCGTGATTCGTATCGAATCATGACTTCTTTGCCAATACCCACCCCTAGATCTGAATTGGTTTTGGTGATTTTGATTCGAGGAATGGATAAAGAGTGGAAATTTGAAAACAAAGCAGACGTCTGAAGAAAAGCTCCAGTGGGCCTCAGCAGATGGCCGCTCACACTGAGCCTGGTTCTGCTGGAGGTTTCTTCCTGTTCAAAGGGAGTTTTTCCTCTCCA